GGGGGTTTGGGCTGAATTTGCCCGAATGACATGACGTTGTAGATTTCGTGACGTCATCATAAAATTATATAATCTAAGAAGACTACAAATGAAAGGCTTTGAAGTCTTTGAAGATTGATATAAAGCGAAATATGCCGTACCTAGCCATTTCAATTATAAGCTAAATATTTGGCATTACGATTCACAAATAAAGAGAAAATTACTAACGTAACAACATTTTTTGGTATAAAATGGGTAATTGGACAAGTACTGGTGCAAGACACTCATGCGTAGCTTAAATAATGAGAGGACCAGTATTCCAAAAATTGTTGTTCTTAATTTCTTAACTCCGACTCTTGTGATGAACATGTACGTAAAAACCTAGGGAAATTACGATTATATAGAAACCGGCTAAAATAGGTGGAAATTTTATGGGACACGATAAAAGGCGAGGATAAGGAGCATAAGAGATTAAAGTTGAGGAGGAAGGCAACCCTGTCCGCGTTTCGACCTAAAGATGGTGTAACATTTTCACTGTCCGTCATCGTATTCTGTTCACTATTTTCTCTGAGCTGTGACAGCGAATTTAATTCCTCAACATCAATGAACGTTGTCATTGGTTCCGTTTGGTCTTCGCTCATGGGTTCCTTCACATTTTTCTCAGATAGATCTTCATTAAAAGACACCGTGACTGCAGAATCTTTACTACTACTCGATTCAGTTCCAAGTAGGGTTAGGTCCAACCTCGTTCCCAGGCTCTTTGCTCTTGGGAAGCAAAGACCCTGGTCGGAGCTGGTCACGTGAACCATAGAAAATTGATAGCCCAAGAGGGGGATGGAAAAGTCTCATTTTACATGTTTCCACTTCCGCACTTCGATTGCAAGGAGTGGCCGTTCTGTACAATCATCTAATTCATCTTTGAGAATTATATATACCTCAAACTACTTGCTAAATTGGTTTCTGATTGCTTTTAAATTATACAAACATGCTAAAATGCAGATTCTTATAGCAACAGAAAATTCAGGAAATCAAGCAACGAGAACGTATGACTGTACGCTTTGAAATATTTTTATTTTCTCGGAGTTCGCCGGTTCGGGCGTAGTTTCATTTCACGCGTGCGTTTCTGTTCTGGCTCTGATTTTTATAATATGCTCATAATATGCCAATGAATTGTTCTAATATGGACACGGAATAAATTTTGTTAAACAGATGTCTCAAAAGCGACTGTTTATAGGTCGTAGGATTAGCGCCTTGCCCGTCTTAAAGTACATGACACATTTGGACACAAGCCAAATACACATTGAATGTCCATTCTATTGATTCTAAAACTGTTTATAGACATATTCCTCTAGATTTTTTAAAAGGTTATCATCGTTTATATTAAACACCAGGAAGACAAAATATAACGTACAAAATTGTTTGAAATGGACAGTGCACAGCTGACATACGACAATTCACAACTGAATGAATTTTCTTTTTTGTCTGCACGAGTACTTGTTTGTTGAAGCCAAAATATTGCACAGTATCTCCTATAAATTCTATTGTCATTTACCCTCTCCCCTTAAATGCAAAGGAATGATAGCAGAAAAGGTTTAGCAAAGTATTTTTTATTACATCTGGTATAAACTATAAAGTGTCCAACGTTTTATCAGGATATAATACATAATTCATAAACTGTATATGCACACGAAGTCTCGCTTATATTAATGAGTTTTACTGTAACAAACCTTTTAAAGTTTCCATTGAAAGATACGTTGTTTGCCTCCAGTATTGTTTGGTAAAACAGACTAAACTTCTAAAATGTCGGTTACGGAATACGATAAAGATTAAAGTTGATTTAAATATTGATAACAGCGGCATTAATCCATTATACAAGTCTAAAGAAGCTGGATTATTCTTCAATAAAGCCCTCAATGGACAATGCCAACGTCAATGAAAGGTCGAATATTATACACGTTGCAAATTACTGTATACACAAAATATGAAATAATTTATATAAAGTACAATACCAGTGTCTGGTGCATATATCGTCCTAGATATTCAAGTTGTACCGCACGCACGGAACGCACGGAGGAGTCTTGGCGTTTGTGTGATAACAGATAGCTAGCTACACTTCGACATTATCTTTCTTGATCGTTGAGTTTCAGCAATGTAAATGAAATGAATTTTATAGCCAGTCCATAACGGGTTTTAATCCTGTGCTTTTACAGTCAGAATAGCACTATTGTTTACACATGTTGGCGATGTTTGGGAAATCAAAGACAAAGGATCCCGTTATAAAATAAATCTTTTGTTTTGAATATCGGACAGGATACACTTCAACTATAAAGAACCATATCGTTCGTTTAATACCGTTTGATCGATCAGTCTGTGTAGAAGATGTGTGTCTTTCTACGGCGATACGTGCTAAACTTCGCAGGCCAGGCGCGTGTGGAGTGTTTTCCTTGCAAGTGAAATATGATCCAGCTTCTCGCTTGAAATGTAACGCAACACTTAATATTATTGATGACATTCAGGATAGCAGGAAGTCTTTTCATGATCGGTACGAATTTAGAACAGTTCCTTTCACAATCTCTTGTTGCAAATTACATTTTTATCACCCGAAATTATAACACATAAAATTGCAATTTTCCAAACGCAACAAACAGACTACTCTCCTACCCCTCCCTGAGATCAAATTCAATTTACCCCCAAAATCTGGGGGTTCACGTGACCAGCTCCGACCAGGGTCTTTGCTTCCCAAGAGCAAATAGCCTGGGAACGAGGTTGCCAGCAATCAGCATTATTAAAAATAATGCAGCGTGCACACAGCATTATTAAAAATAATGCAGCGTGCACACAGCATTATTAAAAATAAAGCAGCGTGTATCAGTGCACACAGACATTATTCGCAATCCTTCGTCATCCTGACAAGTACACGCGATAACGTGGACATCTCAAGATGAGAAGTTGACAGTGCTAAAGGCCCTTCATACAATATCATCGGGCGCCTGAAGCACTGCCAAAACGGTCACTGTGAGTCCTTTCAGCTCAACTTTATAGAGAAATAGTTTCGTTTGCGCTTGTGGGATTTTATCCTAGATATACGCATGTGCAGAACACACCATAACTTCTATTCCCGTGTTTATCCAGTTTAATAATGTTTTCGTTCGAGATGTTATGTAAACAACTCGTTTCTCGTGTTTCATCAGGGGACCAAACACTCGAAAACAATAAAACACTCGCGCTTCGCGCTCGTGTTTCATACAGTTTTCTCGTGTTTGGATCCCCGGATGAAACACTCAAACTCGTTGTTTACATATAACTTGAAAGGCTATTACTTTTTTTATACATGCCCCTGTATAGTGTCATCAGATTGCAGAACTTGAAGTAGTATGGACAAAGTGTTGTGATCCGTGTTGTATTGTATCATTGGCAGCCGCTGAAGTATTGGTTCAGCTTGTTTCACAAAATGTTTTGAAGTTTCTCTATGTCATGAATGGCCTGCTTGATCAAATACCAACAACAAGGTATGTCTTTATCTATTGTGCCGTCCTAAATATTTCCTACCATACCCTAAAGGCGTACAGAGAAAATATTATGGAAAATATTGTGGGGGGGGGGGGGAGACAAAGCAGGCATTTCTGACTGACAAAGCGGGCATACCTCGTTGAAGCCATATTTTAACGTACAGTTGAAGCCATATTTTAACGTGATATGTAGATTAGTAAGGAATTAGATTAGTAGAACACAGTATATTATTCCCATAATACGCGGCAATGAACTAACTTCCACATTTCGAGCAAATGCCCTTCGTCTGGGAAAGTTTAACCTCCAGACGAACGGTCTTCGTTAGAAACACCGACGTTTGTTCTTAGTTTTCAGTTCATAAGACAGTTCACAATTATTTTTTAAGGCATCTACTTGGACCAATTCATGGTGTGACAAAGCTATTGTGTCTTCAAGAGACGAAAAATACAGAGATTGTTGCCTACTCACTAAGGTGGGCGAAAACAATTTTGCTGCAACTAAATTATTTCTTTAGTAAATCGTCAATATCATCTCAAGTTAATCTGTTTTGTGGCATACCAAGACCATGCTAGTGAGTTCAATGTATATTTAGACTGAAGTAAGAATTTCAGACATTCGGCCCAAGCGAAAAGTGAAGCCACGATGGCGGTATAGCCAATGGGCTTGCTAGTCCAACTGAGTTACGAGGTCAAGTCGGTTCGAGTCGGTGATTTCCTTCAATATCAGTATATGTCTTACGATCTAACATTTGGTGGTTGTGATATTTTCATGTTAATAAGTACTGGAGGTGCGCCAATATAACATTCTGGTACTTCTTGATCTGCCACAGGGGCATATAATTACCAGTGTGTTTTTGTCGTTAAGAATTCTTCCTAAAAAATGCAATAGCATAAGTAGCTACACAATTGACACTTCATCCTTGCCTCTGATCGAAAAGGCTTTAATACCTGACTATATACTGCTCGTTATTGGTCTTCAATTTTTTTATCAGACAGATGGGGAAAAAAGTGGACAAAAAGTAACCCAACAGTGGTAACTATATACAGTACATGCACTGATGCACACTTGCCCTGCAATGAAATCGAAACTTCTATGCAATATCACACGATCATATTCTGCCAGCTAGTTGTTATGCCATGCAAAGAGGTTTATTTTGCAAAGGTAGCTGTAATTAGCCAACTGGTAACTGGAATTATTTCTTCAATTTTTAGCTCAACTTTGCATCCGTATATCACAATTTTGGCCAATGGTCCTGAATCATGGCCATTGTTGCTTCAAGAGATTGATAGTCTTTTCCAAACAACAGATAATAGGTAATCTTGTTGTATTTTGTAACTAACAATATACACATGAAAAAAATTCTCAATTCATCACATGAAACGATGCCAAAAATGAAATACAGTGCAAAAAAAGAAATACATGCAGTGAAAATTTCTTGATTTTCCTAATTTTTTATTTTTCAATTTCTTAGATTTCTTAATTTCTTAATTTCTAAATGTGGCTTACGTAACTGCATAATTTTTTCATGTATATTATTAATAAGTAATAGTTTGGTTTCTCGTGCAATTAAAAAAATATACACTCGTGAGTTATTCAAAGATTTCAAATTGCACTCGTCCTTCGGACTTGTGCAATTTTGATAGTCTTTGAAATACTCACTCGTGCATGTTTTTTCCGAATTGCACTCGAAACCATACTATTTCCAATACATATTGGCAATTATTTTTTCCCGTTTCGTAATCCCAGGTTCGCAACGTATGTGGAGCTTTCTGGTTTGTTGACGAGTGGTCGTATCACACGATACGGACCACTCTCACGTTTCGCGCCAGAAAGACAGAAAAACAAGCTGAACTGACTTCAGAGGATTTAGTGTCAAGCCCGAAATGTTCTTTTTCCCGACCTAAATCATAGGCAGCCCATTTAAAGTCGAAAAATCGAGGTACGTTTTGGCGCCATGTGCAAGTTTAGGCTATTTTGGGCGTTATGGTCCTTCCTTCTATTTTATTAACAGATATATAACCTTGGGTTTGGGAAGTACACATGCACTAACGGAAATTGATCCAATGTATTGATCCAAGTTACAGTATTAAAAACGCTATACTATAACTATAACTATAACTTCGCTGAGGTTCACAACGAAACGTGTTCACATGATTGTCTCCTTCTTGTTAAGAAATTGTATTCGCCATTATTGCTCAGAATTTTATGAAATTACGTCTACATGTAGCTAAAAGGTGCTTGGTTATTTTGGATGGATGTAAAAAGTTGTTAAACTCCACCATTTTATCTTCGAAAGAAAATCGCTTTTACATTTTAGCAATCTTCATGTTGTAGTTCAACCCTCTTGAAACCAAATTCTTGCTCTTAGTACGTCATAAACTGTTTATTTTTTCGACCAATTAAATCACGTAATATTTTTTTTGAATATGACGAATGCAATAACATCTATATAGCATCCCGTATGGAGACAGAAACGTTTTTGTCAAATTACGCACATTTTTCAGCTTTCTTGCAGCATTGAAAACAAATTTATTTGTGAGTAGATAGAAAAATTATCAGGGTGCTATAACTTCTTATCATGTTTTATTTACGTGTGCGAAGTATTTTGCGCTGTGTTGAAGTCGTATGGTCGTCAGTTTAGATATTGTGTCAAACCTTATGTATTATGTATAAACAAAATAAACAATGCTTTTCATTGCGTGAGTGCTTGCGGCGCGCGACAAAAGTCAGAGCTAGGATGGGCGAGCTTATCTATTTATTGACATTTGGTGCATTCTACACGCATTTTTGGGCTTCCTATATGCCTAAATGCGCCGAAAAAAAGAAGTATTTCTTTGACATATAAGTGTCGAAAAATCCGTGCCTAATGTTTAGTTTCATATTCAGCCATACGTCGAAAAGTATTTTCATGTACATTAAAATATAAATACTGGAACCAAGGACTTATCCTCAAAAAATACCTTAAAACGGCAGTTTAAACATGATTTGTAGACGTATTTCAGTCCTATATTTTTATAAATGTTGTCATGAACACAATGTTTTCAGCAAGTGTACTTTGTTGCTGCGTGTCGAAAGAACATTTTCGAAACAAACATTTTAGAACATTTTTGTGTCAATCCCGTTATTTCTGCAGTACTCTGAGTTGTAACCTGCGCAGTCATTGGAATTGTAGACGGCAAAACCAAATGGCTGGTAGTAGATTCGCCTAGCATCCTTAAACAAATGAGGTTATGCAATAACCACGGTTAGCAACTTGGTAACCAGGTATCCTGACGTCAGCACGTCACATACCGGGGGGGATGGCGCAATGGGATTAGGTAACATGTATCATTCGAGGTCTGACGTCCAAACGACATCAACGTGCGCTTTGAATTTTTTTTCTCTATTTGCACGCTTAGCTCAACAATGTAGTTCCACCAATTTTAATTGGTGCGAAGGTGTTAGTTCGGTGGGGGGTGACAGGTCAAGATGCCATTGTCACGGATCTTAATCTGAGTCCAAGTAACAGTCAGTCCAGGTCACCCCCCTGGTCAGCTGAGGTAACACTTAACCAACCAAACGGGTAAGTATGGTGGACAAGGTGTTAAAGGTAATTGTTCAAATTATTGTCAAAACAAGACTATGACACCCTGGGTATACGAGGTCTTCCGTGAAATTGAGATTTATTTGCTTTCTTAATTAACTATGTGTCGTACAGATGTGAGCGAAGATTTATGTATCTTTGCTTCTTCCACAGTTCCATAGCATCACTGCTTAAAGTGTTTGAAGCGTTCTTCCATCATGTCCTGTATAATCCAAAACCTGATTACTCTGCTTGTAAGAGTCTACACGCACTGCTGTTGGAAAAAGCTTCTGAATTGTTGAAACAAACGGAAGAGGGCGTTCTGGATAATATTCTGAGATTGATCACAAACCATCTTCGAATTTACAAGGTGTGTTGTTCAAGTCTGCTCAAGAGGGTAATACCTGTAGTTAGTTTTGTTTTCGCGACAATGTTTCCAAAAACGAAGTCGAGTTATAAACTTGCGAGGTGTTTCGCCTTTTTGTTTATTTATGTACGTAGCCGTGTCGGGCAACAATTTTTTACTAAACCACGTGATCACAAGTCAACCAAACACGTTTGGCCTACACACGTATAAAAACGCACAAGCCTGCAGCAGACTTCTAACAATGCTGTTCCAACAACTTGTCAACAGGATGTGTTCGCACTGCTTGTTCCCAGCTTGTTGACAAGTTGTCAACGGCTTGTTGACAACTTGCTACAAGGTTGTTGAGCTCAACAGACTTGTTGTTCCAACAAGTTGTTATCGTCCTGCAATTCAACAATTTGTCAACAAGTTGTGAGTGACAACCTTGTAGCAACTTGATAAAATAACAGCATTGTTACAACTTGTTGGCAAGCTTGCCACAAGCCTGTTGCGAACACATCTTGTTGACAAGTTGTGAGATTTTTACGTGTGTAGCTAACAATCAATGTTATATCATGAACAGTTAAACTGGCGAAGCAAACTATTTTTGAAATTTCCCCATATTTTCCGCATTAAAGTAGCTATATTGAAACTTAAAATGACTGGGGCAAACTCTCGCTTGTCATGCAACTCTCATCCTACCTACTGTAAGGTCTCTGCTTACAGAGCCGCGGGATATCGCCATGCGGGCTAGCCCACATCCTCATATGAATGCGATAGTTGCCCCGGTCAACTTGAATAGGGAGTTGAATAAAATTAGCCAATGGCTAACAAGTAACAAATTACGGCATCATTCGACCAAAACCAAATTAATGTACGTTGGTTCAAAGCGTTATCTTCATAAGATAAACGATGATATTCCTGTAATGTTAAATAGCCAACTGATTCCCAGAGTATATTCAGCTCTTGTTTGGACGTTATGAAACACTACGTTGGGATGAACACATTGAAACGATTTGCAAATAAGTTGGGGCAGGTATAGGAACGTTAAAACGCATCAAGCTCTACACTCTTGCAAACATGTTCCAATCAATTTATAGCACTCTGATTCAACCTTAGTTCAATTACTGCTCTCCACTTTGGGATACTTGTAACAAAACACTGAAAGATAAGTTACAAAAGTTTCAAAATCGGGCAGCTACAATAATAGCTGGCATTAGCTATGAGATTAGGTCTGCTGGCGTTCTTCGGGCTCTTGAGTGGGAAAATTTAGATTCGAAACGAGTTATACCAAGGCAACATTATTATATAAAATTCTGAACGATTCTAGTGCACCAAATTTGAAAGAGTTATTGATGAGGAGGAAATCTCCACTTAGAAATTCTCACGCTGATCTGGCCCTTCCTAAACCGAGACGTGAATTTCTTTAGGTATACAGCGGTACTAAACTTTGGAATAATCTTCCGCGCGAAGCTAAGGAAGCGGATGCAATTAGTCAATTTACTCTTTCAAAAGTTTGTAAAACAATTTATTTCTTAGATAGAAACAACTATAGATCTTAATATACGACCGCGGGTCACATCAATTTAACTTCATTTTATACATCTCTTGTAAATAGGTATATACATTTATATTTTTCTTTCTTTGTAAATATATTTTTCTGGTGCTAGTGACGCCCCTAGTGGAAATAAATTATTTCTTTCATTAAACTTCTTATTGACCGAATGGCAGGTTTGTACAGAGAAATATCGGACCTAGGTTTTTTCTGTGCACACCGAGCCCGCGTAGGGTGAGGTTTGTATTGCTTGTACAAAACGTCTGAGGTCCGATATTTCTCTGTAGCAAGCGAGGTTAATTTCTCTGTAGCAAGCGAGGCATTTATATATGCATTTATACTTGAAACAAACGAGAAATGTATGATTTGAAATGCATATTAGTGGCGTGGTACACATTTGGTCGAAGAAAACAAAAAATATAAAGATATTCCTTCTTTTCAACTAAAAACCATTCGCAGATATCTTATCAATAACAAATTTATATTATAATTTTCAAATTTTCAATTACTTTTGCTGTTTTTTTTTTTTTAAATGCATCCGTTTGTTTTTACGTAATGGAACTAGAAATAACCAGATTACAACCTCCACTGCATGGAACGGAAGGTTAAAAAGAAACTAAAATTGTTTTTTAGATGGATATGGAATCGCTGGGCCACAGTGTTTCACTGTGTCATCAAACAATGCGTTGGTTTTTGAAGAACGGCTGTGCAAATCTTGGTATGTACCGTAGTTAAAAGATGCTATACTCACCTGAACGGTTACGTCAATATTAAAACCCCAATGAATGTTGCAAGTGAACATTATATATATGAGGTACACAACTATTACATTCCAAGCGCGAACAGCAAGATTGACATACCAAATTTTAATATTTTAGCTATTTGTGTTTTGGCAATTCTCAGGGCTATACATGATTTATAATACATTTCACCCAATAGAATATCTTATTCCCATTATACTTTAGGCGCTTGGTTGTACATTCGTCTCAAATTAATATGAACTAAACCAGGGTGAATTCCATGTAAACTCCGTGGAGACTTTGAACTAGGTTTGGCGCTTTTTATCTCGATAGGACATTTTAAGCCTCGGTCAACATAGTGAGAGTTACGTTTCGCTCGTTACTCTGGTTTAAATAAATGATTACAAAGCCCAGTCGAATTGTAATCAAGACCCAACGTTTCGAATTCGACACTCCAGTTTAGTGTCTACATCAGGGGTGATCTGAAGTTACAATCGTGGCTTCTTAAATACCCAAGGGATGACGTCACCTGCCAATGAGATGCATGTATTCCTCTGGCAAATAGGCCCGTCATCCCTATTCAAAGCATGATAACTCATATTTATATGCCACGCTTCTATGCCACGCTATATATGCCACGCGTGGCATATAAATATGAGTAATCATGCTTTGAATAGGGATGACGGTGCCTATTTGCCAGAGGAATACGTGCATCTTATTGGCAGGTGACGTCATCCCTTGGGTATTTAAGAAGCCACGATTGTAACTTTAGATCACCCCTGATGAAGACACTAGACTGGAGTGTTGAAACGTTGGGTCTTGATTACAATTCGACTGGGCTTTGTAATCATTTATTTAAACCAGAGTAACGAGCGAAACATGATTGATATACCTGGTTGCAGTGAACGAACAAACTTTAAATAATGAGAGTTGATAATAGTTGCAACTCATGCACTCTCAACAACTCGTATTAACTTTGAACTAGTTCAAATTTTAATGAGAGTTGATTTTAATGAGAGTTTTGCCACGCGCGAGGTAATATCCAGTCAACTCTTATCAACTTGACCAGGACTTTAGGTATAAGTTCTTTGCATGTTTGCATCGCATAAAACATATAATACTTTTGTTTGTGGAAACACCACGTAAATGTATTACTGCAAAGCTTTCGATCCGTAAGCCCGGATCTTCATCAGTGCTAATAATATGTGACTTGTTCAATTCACACGCCCTTTTATATAATATATCAAAGTGTCGTGATCTGTTGGCTCGCGTCATTTGAAATTTTCATTAAACGGTACATCAACCAGGGGTATAATCGGGGCTTTAGGTATAATATGAGGATGACCCCCTCCCCCTAGCCCTGGCCACTAGTGGCCAGAGGGGGTGCAAGGAGGGTGCTATTTTCGTGATAAAGCAAATAATAATAGAGACCAAATGAGATACAGTAATTTGAGCAATAGTGTATAAATATAAGTAGTGTAAATTAATTTCGAAATGTTTTCATAATCAAGAGTTTGTCACAACAAATGTTATCACAGATGACTGCACATTTTTCTCGCCCTATGTGCAAAAAAATGAAATGAAACAGCACACGTTCTGCACTGCTCTAATTTAAATATGGCAGTGTCAGAGCCGTGAGCATGATGTCCTGTAGAAATTAATTATTTTTGTGCTTATCTAACAAAGAAACAAAGCGATAGAGTATATAAATAAAGCTCCTGTCAGTCCTGTGGTCATAATAATTTTGATATAAATTAGCGTATGAACCTTTTACATATTACATAATTTCTAACCAGTGATGGAGGTACAGTATGAATCTTAAATAAACAATATAAGACCCAAATATGATATCCGGTGCTTCCCTATAACCATGGTAATTATTTTAATGTTTTATTTCTCTTATTATAGACTGTCATATGAAGGCACTGACCTTACTACTCATTGAAATGTTACACAAACAGTTGTCCCTTGGAATGTCAATGATGTCATCACTTGTTATGTTGAAAACAATCACTCACAACAAACCATGGGTAAAATAGATCATGTGTTACAGTCGTTACGTATTAAGGGGAACATGATCGTGAATGATTATCACCTGGGTGAATCTTAAAAATTAAGATAGTTTGTGAGAATTTGAAGAAAAGGATTTGTAAATGCTCTCGACATTCTTTTCAAATTTGACAAACCCAATTTTTATTCCATTTTGTTTTAAAATTGTGTAGCCCGTATTGTGGAATTCATGAATATTTATTAACAAAAATTCAGTCGCGGCAAGGTATTTGGGCTACATATTTATGTACTATTTAAAAAACGAGCAGGAGTGTTTTATTAGGTTTAAAGTCACGAGCGCGCAGGGCGAGTGGCTTTAGACCTAATAAAACACGACCTGCGAGTTTTTTAAATGGCTTCAAAAACGTTTGCATAATAAGTCAAATCTTTATATAAAAATCTTTATATAAAAATCTTTATATAAAAATCTTTATATAAAAATCTTTATATAGTTTGCATAACAATGGTCTTTTGTTAAAGTGTTCTTTAGCTGATATAAAGACGTATGCACGTGACTAATTTCTTACTCAAGATTGGATAATTGCTTCATGAATTATTAATGAGTTTTTGAAGTAAATGTACATAATGTCAATTCCAATACAGATACAGAACGTTCTGTATCAAAATTAAAAGCACTAATTCAATAACTATTATATCTTATTTCACAAGTATTAAAATATGTTATGTGTACTCGATTGCTGCTTGTATTTTGAATTTGTAACTTGAAACTGCTTAGAATAGACGGGTCTGCCGATTGTCATCAATAGTTTCGAGACACATTGTCTCCAAAATAGACAGCCGATGCGCCAGTTCATTCGAAATCTTTCCAGAGAAAATATTACATTTTCGCCCTTCTGAACGGAAGTGTGAAATAAATTGCGTCATGGAAATGAAATTCGACAGGTCGCACCCAATCTCGTACCCAGAGCAATGCCTGTGCGCGGGCTAGGATGGCATTGGCTCTGGGGAAATTCACAACCGGAACCCCTAAGTTTAGGGGTTCCGGTTCTTTGTCGGCATGCACGATTGATAAACGTTAACCAATCACAGCACAGGAAAAATTCAATTTCCCGAGAGCCAATGCCATCCTAGCCCGCGCACAGGCATTGCTCTGGGTACGACATTGGGTCGCACCCAGAGGTTTTCCCGCCTCGTCGCCTCCGAAAACTCGCCTGACACCAGAAAACCTCTGAACTCAGGGTACGCTCTTTCCTGCCGAAAATTAAATCCTTCCCCGGGTTTTCAGATGGACGAGTAATTACGTAGTAAAAAAGTCAAGTCAAGCTCTCGAACAACAAAAGAAATAAAAAATCACAATTAATTAATTACTCGTATTTGCCACGATTTCATCAAAGTATATATTGTGAAAAATCTAATTCTTTGTTTGTAATCACGTGACTTTTCATCCAAATGACGGGCAATCAAACAACTTGTGGACGATTTTTCACCTATTAGAATGGTTGTAGCAAGAGAAACCGAACGATAATTCATCTTTTGAGTCTTAAACTGTTCCTAAACTCGATCAATACATTAAAATAGCCGTTTTTTTGTTATACCTGCCCGTCAACTGAAATCCCAAAATTACGTCATTGCAAACAAAGAATTAATATTGTGAAAAATATAGGTAAGATTTAAGATTGAGTTTTTATGTTTTTACTACCGTACACCGGCAGTAGAAAAGTGCTTGTATTAGTTTCTTCGGCAGGTGATTACATCTTCATCGCACACATTTAGATTCCAGTTGCCAATGGTTCCTTGTTTTTGATCTCACATCTCATGCTTACGTGTTCTGAATATTATATTGGAGAACTGCTGCATATTGGTAAGATTTATGTGTAAACCAATGGGGTAGAATCGAAAGGTATGGGTTGGAAATTAATATCTATAAAATGGATTAGAACGTATTATATATAGATGGAACGCGTTTCATTGCCCTCCAAGCCGTGTATATTCCATTTTTTGTATCTGCGAATGCAGATATATTGCTATCGTGCGCGTACTGGAAGTTTGTAAGCGTGCTCATAGCCAATCAGCGACAGCGTATAGATGAAATGACGTAATGATACTAATTTAAAAATGGCGGTTTACTGAAGGGTGAAACAAAGGGAAATTTGTGAATTTACGATTTATAAAATTATACATCAAACGCAGTCAAAACAACGTCATTTTACTAGTCATAATATGGCAAATGTAGATAGTGCATTTTTGGCAAGCATTTGAAGGGTTTCATCATTTAATACGCAGTGGAAACGAAATGATTCGCAAGAAAATTATTGACTAATGGCATTGAAAATACTATTACGAAACTATGAAAGTAATTTGGCCGTTGTAGGTGTAGATCGAGTTGTAAGTGTTGATGTTTATGTACTTCTCAATTTAACATTTTCATTGGTGACTTTAATTAATATAAATTAGTTGAATGAAACCAATAGAAGGCTATATAATTTCGTAAAGGTTACATGATTTCTTTATCAATGATCATAACTATAGACAATTGGTGTCTGCTTTCATTACAGACAAGTAGACTTTGATAGATGATTTTTACACAAATTTAGCAGAGTCAGAAGCTAAGTCACACATATTGGAAACATTTCTCTTAAAGCACTTAGCAGTATGTGCATTGAATAATTGCTTTCATTAAAGCAAAGCCAAAGTAATAGTGGCTGCATAAAGAGCAGAAATTCAGCTTTAGATTGGAATATCCATACTTATAGTAACAGTTGCAACCAGTCATAATTATCAACTTGCAGCATATAACTATATATCCTGGAGGGGGTGCCGCCTTCTTCATCCACCCTGATTTCTGCAACTGAATGTCATTGCCAAGAACACCAAGTAAGCAATTTATACTCCCCTTCCCCTGTCCCATACTATATTGTCTTATAATTAACAACAACCATATGTCATAATGGGATCTTATTTATAGCACACAATGTGCAAAACTAAACCTATTCTGTTTATTGGATTTTCTTCCTCGACAAAATATTATTGCATGGATCTGGTATGCTGAATTATATCATTCTATTCAAGAACTATATGCATCGATTATACTTCTAATTTCCCTACTTATCATTTGTTACTGATGAATGACTTTCAATATATGACCTATTTGATATATTTACTAGGCATAAACAGTTGATTTGTGTGCCATCAACCCTGACTATGACATTTTCATTATGTTATGTATCAATTATGGTATAAAAAGGCTTTCAAAACTCTGCAAATGTATATTGGCACCACCTGTTATCCTGACAACTTCTATGCATCTACAATGTTCTCGCATGCCTGCTAAAGTTTATTATGAACTATCATGGGTGTGTGCTATTTTTCATGATCAAGCAAAAATACAGTAATTTGAGTAATAATATGATGATAAGCGAACTGTGAACAACAATTACAATTCAAATACAGTAGTCAAGCAAGACTTTGCAGTAGTGAAGCAAGTTGATGGGCGGGCGGCATGCATGACCAACACAACTCGGCACCAGAGCTGGCAGAGCACCCCCCTACCAGATCATGCTGGATCCATCCCTGCAAGAACATTATAAAACTAAGATGATTCAACAAGAACATCATAAAACTGAATATCATCTTTGTGAAGTTATGGCCGGAATTAGTTTCTGAATATATAGTTGAATATATATCAGCCATTTCATTTTTCTTTCATCTGACATACTATAAATCTAACTTTATTTAACTGGTCAACTGTTAAACATCAGTCCCTTAAAATTTTTACAAGCTACCTTGGCAACAGTGCAATCACCATGAGCAGATACATGTACGCTTAGCGTACCTATTTTTCTTAGGTTTTCTTTAAATTCCACACGTCAAAATTATAATCGTTCATGTACCCCAAATCTTCACAGTGAGGCCGATGGAAGTAAGTTCAAATGCGTCGTAAAAATAAATTTTGCGACATATATTACTTTTAAACATTGTACATGCAACGCAAACTATCCTCACATATATTATCATTCATTACGGTATCACTATCCCCTCCTTATTGAATGTCATACATGACATGTGCGGATCCTTCTGCTTATCTTATCATTTACAGCAATTTCTCTAGAATTGTTGATATTTTCTACCTAAGACATCAGGGCAGGTTGATCAGACACAACCCATTAACTCCATCAAACTCATGTGCGCATACTCTTCTACAAATAGATTCGTTTTTCCGTAACCACAGTTACGTTATACATTCCTCCATAACTATGGATTCTTAACGACAAAAGTGTAATGTTTTTCTAATAATATAATTTAAAAGATCTAAAACGAAGACATTGGCTGGTTGTGGTAGATTTGAGGGTAAACCAACGGTGGTGGAGTTGGTGGGAAACCAAACGGTGGTGGGGTTGGTGGGAAACCAAACGGTGATGGGGTGAGTGGTTAACCGTAAAATAGGTGTGGTTGTGGTGGTATAAAGCCGTATGTCTGCATCATTCCAACGGTGAGGTTTTGCCATGCATACATTGAACACACCAGTCGCCGGCTCGTTGTGGTCGCGGATAAAATCTAGCAATTTCTTCGCCGTTATCAATCTCGTACCCAGAGCCATCGTTGATGGCTCTGGGTACGAGATTGCGCCGTTATTTCCCGCTTCGATCACATTTTCATGTTCATGCGTCGTTGATGGGCTTTGGGTGATGGGGGTTGTAATCTCAACTGTAGTATTTCCTGCTGTGAGGTTTTGTTCTTCCATTGTGGGGTTTCCGTCTTCATCTTCTTGTTCTCTTGTCTCACCGCATTTCTCTCGGTATCTTCGGACGTTCCACTGTGCTGTGACTGTTGTGCGTTCAGTTCTTTCATATCATTTGGCGTTGCAGATGGTCTCTCCTCTTCCTCCGAATCTGAATCTGTGTCAATTTGTTTGTCATTTGCAGAGGGGTGTCTTCTCGATTTTAGCTTTTTTCTTTCTTCACTTGTTTCATTCTTCTTTGTTTTGACAGACTCGTTAATTTGTACGCCGTGGTCTAATCCCGTGGTAATAACAGGTTGCGATGTAGTTTTCTTATCTTTCTCCGTCCAGATTCTGACATTAGATAGCTTAAGATTGTCGACGTCAGCTAGGACGTCAGGGCTAAGCAGGGGACTGCGACTAGGACTTCGTCCTAAATAAATAAACTTCCACTTAAGATTGACGACGTAGACATTTAAACTATAAATATTTACGTCCTTTTGAAAATAAATTTAAAAGAGACGTGTGAAACCATTACCGTTTGTTATGCTCTTGTATCCACGACGGTAAAACTCTTGTTGTGAGGTTGTCGACGTTTGGTGGACGACGAGCAAATTGAGAGGGACACATGCACACTATTACCAATTTACTTTCTCTTAATTGACTCCCTAAAGAATGGACCTTGAAAACCCTTCTCATGAGCAAAAACTCTGCGACCGCTCTAGCGTCCTCCTTTACCAACGAGTTAAATTCTGCTGTTGATAGGTTATTCCCGTCTAAGGTTATTAGAATTCATAACTCTGACAAACCATGGATGACGCCTGCATTTAAAAAACTGATTTATCAAAGGCAAAAAGCCTTTCATTCTGGTAACCTTGACCTCTGGCGTCACTATAGACTTAAAGTCCGAAACGACATAGGAGTGAAAAAGCGTGCATATTACACGAACAAGGTACAACACCTAAAATCCAGTGACTCCAGAAAATGGTGGGACTGTGTTAACCAGATGTCCGGAAAAAAAAGATCTGCAACCAATAACATTAAGATCGTTAAGAATGGTACCACTCTATCTGGTAAAGATCTCGCCCAATCACTTAACACCTACTTCTTAAGCGTGAGTAATGACCTACCACCACTGAATCCTCTCCTGCTACATGCCTTTCTCCCTG